GATTATTTGTAATATTATAACCATGTTCTAATTTAAACAACTTCCTCCCATAATCCTTCTGAAGTCATTTTTTAATTTGAAATAACCCATGCATCTATTGCTGCTTAACTGGAAGAAATGAGTTTTCACCAATTAACACGTATGTTATTTACCATTCGATGATGCCACAAATATTTATCTAGCACTTACTAAGTGATAGGCATTACTCTAAGAACTAGGGCTACAATGGTGAGTGAAAACAGGCATGGCTTTGGACTTTGTGCTGCTTGGCTGCAGAGCATTTGCAAAATTATCTTACTCAACTTTTCAGTATTATTTTTTAAAGGTAATGATTCCTTCTGAAAACATTTTCTTCACTTGGCTTCTAGAACATCAGGCTGTCCTGACTTTCTTACGACCTCACTGTCTGCTTCCTCTTGGTCTTTGCTGACTTCCTCTTTACTCCCCAGATTCTCAATGTTATAATCCCCCAAATTCTAGGGCTTCTTCAGTAGTTTTTCTCACTTGTTCTGAGATGTTACTCAAGTCCACAGCTTTAAATGCTACTTAAGGTTTATGCAGGTCATTCCCAGTGTTCTATGTCAGGTTCTGATCTCCCTTCAACACCAGACTCCATATCCAGTTGCCAAGAACAGCATCTACAATTCTGCTTAGAAGTCTAATAACCATCTTCAAGTTTGCACATCTCCATGTACATGTCCAAAAAGTTATCTAGATTTTCCCCAACAAATCATTTACTCCAACTCCTTCTCCTTATCAGCAACTATTACCAGCCTCCTTAGACCTCTTTCTTTGTACCTCACACCCAAACAATTCATATCACCACAATTCTGTGTCTTAGCCACAACTCTCTCTCGCCTGGTGGCCAAAATGTCCCCCTCTTGCTTCAACTCCAGAGGCTTAGTGCTTCAGGGAAAAAAAAAAGGCAGGGCACCAGTGGCTGATGCCTATAATCCCAGTGCTTTGGGAGGCTGAGGCAGGCAGATCCCTTGAGGCCAGGAGTTCAAGGCCAGCCTGGACAACACAGGGAGACCTTGTCTCTACAAACAAAAAACAAATTAGCCTGGTGTGGTGACAAGTGCCTTGTAGCCCCAGTTACTCGGGAGCCTGAGGTGGGAGGATTGCTTAAGCACAGGGAGTGGAGGCTGCAATGAGACATAATGGTGCCACTGCACTCCAGGCGTGACAAGAGTGAGACTCTGTCTCAAAAAAAAGAAATCTGTTCGGGAGGCTGAGGTGGGAGATCACTTGAGGCCAGGAGTTGGAGGCCACCCGGGCAACATACCAAGATTCCCAGTCTCTAATTCTAAAAGAAAGTAGTCGATGGGGGTAGCGCACGCCTGTGGTTCCAGCTACTTGGGAGGCTGAAGTGGGAGGATTTTTTCAGCCCAGGAGGTGGAGCGGCAGCAGTGAGCTATGATCGTGCCACTGCACTCCAGCTTGGGC